GACACTGTTGTGTTGACTGGGGATCTGAACGCTCAATTTGGGAAATTATCCACTGATGAACAGCATCTGGGCGGTCAACATGGTATAGGCTTCCGTAATGATATAACGGTGAGCGATAACTTCGTTTGTGTGAAGTTGCTCGCTTAGTTGTTGCGAGCACTAACTTCCGACACAACACCTAGCGGAGGGTGATATGGCGCCCACCAGTCTCGAACCAGCATTGGACGCAAACTGATCATATTGCGGTCAGTAACCGTTGGAGAAGTTGCTTCCGGAACTGTCGCTCGATTTGGAGTGCATGTGTGGACACTTGTATGCGCTGATCTGCAGGTGCGTTTTGGCGGACGCCCAAGACAATGTTGTGAGCGCATTGACACCAGCCAACTGGCGAAGCCAGCTGTTCTGAATGCCCATCAAAGTACGCTGTCATGCGAGTTGAGTAAGCGCTCACTGGATGCAATTGAAGCTCACTGATCTTATATCCACCAGAACTTACTAGCAGCAGGCAAATCCTCATGTGCTAAGTCTCATCGAACATTGGGTCTCTTCGTCGTCTCTGGGGCTTATCAATGATGGCCGGCATATTCCGGCTGGAAGCAAACACAATGAAACTCGCAAAGACCTCAGGACAAACCTCCGTGCTAGCCTGAGGAGAGACCGCGAATCCTGGTGGTCTCATCATGCGTCAGAGATGGAAATGGCCGCTGGCCGTAGTAACCATCGTAAGTTATTCCGTCTGATACGGGAAATGGGCAGCAGAAGACCAGGTGTTAGTGAAACAAAACGTGACGAGAGTGGACAGCCTACCTACAGTTTGTCAAAATGCTTGAAGCATTGTGCTGAGCACTTTAAAAGGCAGTTTAACTTGTCGGAATTGTTAGATTTCTCGCTGACCACTGATCACCCTGTTCCGTTGGCTTTCCCTTTGGATCCACCCTCTCGCTCAGAACTTGAACGTGAGATCGGATAGTTGAAGTTAAACAAAGCCGTGGGACTAGATTATCTTCCTCCACCCTTCTTCAAATTCGGGAGACCTGATCTTGTGTATGATTTAAACCAATTATTAGTGAAAGTGTGGAAACAAGAAACTAACCCAACCGACTGGAGCCGCTCCGTCATAGTCCTAATTTTCAAGGCAGGCTCACGATCAGAGTGTCGCAACCATAGAGGAATCAGTCTGATCCCCATCGCCTTCAAACGGTTCGCATTAATCCGTTCTTGGATTCATTGCAACTCTCTATCACCGCCAATGGCCAACAATCACGATTGAATGTATTCGAGAATACTCCGGGACTAACATTGCAGCGCAGTTTAAGCCATTACTTTTTAGTATGCATTAGGGTGATGTATGCATTGCTACAACATTTCCAACACAAAATGGCCAAATAGTTCGTCCGTCTCCAACATCGAGCATACCGGTTACAGAGTGTCGCTGGTGTCAACCTTACTGCATTTGGGCGAAGCAATAGCATATCATTTGGCGTAAGAGCTGCTTGATCACGAAAGTCTGTTAGCGCGACTGGCTGATCCCAACGGAGTTTTTCTATGCACAGTTACAGAGGCAGTAAGGTTCTGGGCATGATTCTAGGAGCAATTAATCCGAGGGGTCGTATAATGGAACAATGGAAGATATCACAGACAAAATTGATCTCCTCATCTTTAGCCCATCCATTACGTTGAACCGGAACAGGAATGTGTCATCCACCGAGTTCCATTCTCTACCTAGCGTGCGATGTACCAGTTTGACTTCTCCAAGCGGTTTAATCGATTTCGAGAGCTGAGTAGATGGCACCGCTTCAAGCACCTCAGTGCTGCTAGGTGTACACCTTCGAAGTATAAAGCCTGCCCTACCAAGCAGTTCCCGAAGTTGACATACAAACTGGACGCCTTCAGGAATAGAAGACAATGAAATCAAACAGTCGTCAACGTAAAATTCATTCACGATGGCAACTGACACACTTCTACCATATCGATTTCTCCACTCCTCCGCTGTCTGACGTAAAGCGAACCTAGCACAAAAAGAGGAGGAACTCACTCAAAGTGGGTTAGCGGCCATTTGATACTTCAACGTATCAGAGTCGCAATTACTGGCTCTCCACCATAGGAAACGCAAGGCATTGTGATCGTTCTCTGGGACCTTCAAATGCACAAACAGCACCTCGATGTTCGCAACAACTGCGACTCTATCGTTTCCGAATCGCATCAAGACTCAAGGGACTGGACCAAAGTGGTCCACCTACAGAGGTCAGGATTCATAAGGTTTAGATGGTTGGCGTTCAAGCAATGAAACATACCACAGGTAAGCTAGACAGGTGGTAAAGTTCGGGAGTTTAACAGTGTTTACAGCACTTCATCGCCAATGTCTCTTCGGCGTGTATGGATCTCGGAACCGTTTCCAATGTATCGTTCAGAATTCGATAGTAGACCCACTTGGACATTAATATCACTAAGAATCGTCTTCGATACCCTCCGAAATGTACAGAAGCGATGAGAAGGCAACTTGTCTCCGGACAATCATTATTAACCCCAATAGAGGTACGAAGTCGAATCGTAAACTTTTGGTTATTCACCGAGATCCGGTCGAGCAGACTGCCTTCAGCACCTCTGCTGAGGGCGATAGTGACATCATAAATACCTCTAGCCTTTGAATCAGTATAGTTAGAGATGCGAAGAGTGTAGCCATCATCGTCAGATTCAGAACTGGGAAGTTGAAAATTAGTCACAACGCCATGATCTCGTATGCGTATTTAGAAGACACAACAGAAGAGAGTGAAGATTGATAGTCAGTGTTGCCTGCTGGTCGATCTGACCTAGAGTGCGGACATTAAAAGAACTAATGTGTGATGAAACTCTAGGTTTGATGGAAGAACTACATGTATCGATGGCAGCCGTTGCGAGGTCAGCGTCAGTATCTTGCTCAAAAGACGGGGAAGAAGAGAGGGGAGAAAAAAGGAGTATTGATATGGTCGAGAGGGCAAATGATAATCTCCGGCCCGTAGCCTAAAGCTAACGACCTTGTAATCTGACGGTGCGGGCTCGAGCCTGTATAGGGACAGGGCGACTCTCGCAGTATCCTTAGCTCACGTGCGACCGGTGGTGGTTGCGCGGCAGCGAAGCGCAATGCCGACGTACTGATGCTTTATTCCTCGGCTGCTCCTTTCGAGAAAGGGGTTTTTTTCGATATGCCCTGTCTCTAGCCTTTGACTCAACAGTATGACCCCCAAAGCAGTGGTGTGGAGGTTAGCTTGAGGGACTCCACCCGAAGCCTTTGGCTCACAAGGCAGTGGAGAGGAGATCTAGCTAGAGCGTGTGATTGCAGAGACCCATTGGGATCTGCTTGAGGCCTGTCACACACAGCCTTTGAAGATTTGGAACAATGCACTTGTGTTTTATGGCCGTATAATGCTACGCACCTGCGACCACGGCCAGCCGCAGGTTGGAGTTGGCGGATTTGCACTAATTTGAGCAGGGGTTGCCTGGTCTGAAGCGGGCGGCAGCAGATCATTGAGCACCAGGCGGCGCTCCTCCACAATAAGAGACAACGTCTGTCACTTGTGCTGTACGCCGAACGATCAGTGTGGGTAGAACCTGTCCCCCTTTGCCTTCTATTGCTAAGGTTTTAAGAGAGCAGACCATCAACCTATCCCCAACCTCAGAAGAGGGTGCAGAGTTGGTATGAGCACTAATCATTGACCTGATTTGTATGAGTGACCTCGAGGGCATTTGAAGTGTCACTCAGTAGAGCGCAATGGGTCACGGAGGTACACTAACGTAGGTCTACTCTCGTCGCGATGGGACTTTCCGGTGTCGAACGGCACTGGCGTATTCGCAACGATGATGCTGACAGGTGAGTACTAGGCACTGACAATCAAAGTGCCCCTTCAAAACAATAGATAGCACTGAATAAGTCGTGTTAGCTTGGCACGTTGTACGTATGCCCAGTCAACGCTTACTGAGGAGGGTCTTGGTTTGTATGCCAGATGTTGGGTGATGCAAAGCTCCAGGCGGGCAAAAATTAACTTGACAGCTGGAAATGAAGTTACTGACTACAAAACTGGGTACCATTGGCTTGTCTCCCTTTCCAGACTGCAGTCCACGTGACATGAAATGTGCTTAGGTCGAAACGTTACAGGACATGGTTCGCAGTCGGCAGCAGTAGCGGGTCTGTTGTCGTCTCCTAGTCGGACTGCCTGCTTAAAGGGTGTTTGGTGCTGAATTATCTGCGGAGTAATGGTGATTATGACGCGGGGCAGTGAAAACAGAAAAGAAGCCGCCTTATCTATGAACGATAAACAGTTATTTGTGATGGTATGTTGTTGATAAAGCGTAGGAACCTTGACCCTGAATTTTTGTTTAGGACACTTAGGTTTTCCACTAGGTCCCCCCTTATCTCCCACCGATCATTGTGGTTGTACGGTAGCGAAGCATCAGTTCAAATAGCTGATGTACTGTTGCTGCTGCCCCAGTAGGATTTAGATGATCCGGCAAACAGTGGTGAACAGATTGAAACGTTGTTCAAAATCTGGTATGATGGAGCTACAATCCACAGTGTCAACAGAAGAAATCGTGCATCATATCCCTTGGCGTTAAACTCCCGGAATCGTCGTAAGGTCGATTACAATTTACCATCCTGTACTGTATGTTAAGTGAGCTACGAAGTAAGAATGATTATCCGCTGTTTCGGTGGCACTGGTATTAGAAACTTGAAAGAATACTGTTGGAACGAAACGGAGTGTGGGCACATCGGATTATCACGGCTAGTCCAGCAACTTCTCCTCCACTAGGGGAAAGTCAAATGGACTTCTAAAGACGTACATCTTCCCAGAGTTGCGTGTAAACGCACCGTTCTGAATGGGATGGTGAGTGGACAAGTAGGTGAGGAGCAAGTGCTGGCCCTTATTTGGGCGTTTGGTGTTAATTAAGCATGGAGTGTCCTCTTACAAAGACACGGATAGTCACATGGAGCGGACAGCCGCGTGCCACACAACGAGAGGCATTTGGAGGGGGGTAACGATTGTTACGGTATAGATATATTATGAGGCAAGGAGTTGAATCCGCATGCGATAAGACCATGACGACAAGTGTGAAAGGTTGCATGGTCACGGAGAGTGCGCAAATCAATGGAAGCGAACAGAGATTCGGGAACACGGTTGACTGTATGTACAAGGTCAATGATGGCATGCGAAGGAAAACACCGGTGTGTATGGGCAAATGAAAGAGACATACAGTGAGGAGCATATTAAATAGGAAAGCATCACAGCCGTTAGAATGGGTCGCTACGGATCAGTCAATTACGTAGGTAGGCAGCGAACCAATGGAGGAGAGTGGAGCACACTCTCACGTCCCATGAATCGGAGACCGGATTAATCGAGGCTGTTTGTTTCACAAGCAACGGCCACTGGACCAGCGGAAGGTGGAGAATGTGGCAGCAGGTGAACAAAGTGCAAGAGAACAGGGTGGATACGAGGATACAGAGCCAAAGGATCAGCTTCACTCGGGTGTGGAAACAGAGGCTGAGAAGACAGAGGATGTGTCGTAGACATCGGAGGAGCATTGGTATGGGGTTACAATTGGCGCGCAAAAACATTGCAAACGATTGATCCGCAAGCAACGTAGCTCTAATGTCACCAGAATTGTTTAACATCTGTCGGCGTCGGGCGAAATCCAGTAGCCGTTTTCGGTTGCTTCGTCCACCGTATTCGGCCTCCAGTGCTGGGCTCGGATGACATGAGTCGAGGGAGAAACGAACGTGCTTGCATATGGTGGGCCGGCGCTCTGGGCCTGTGAGGGAAAGAAGTGATCAGAATTTAAGCATTATTTGACACGGGTTTCACGATTCCACTAGCAGAATTCAAAAGGAAAGCACGCCCTTAGAGAGGAATGTGCTCAGTCTGGTGCAGTTCAATCAATGGACTAAGAGCCGCGCACTACAGGTCAAATTAGCATGAAAAATGCCCCGAAAACGAAAACATGAACAGCGAAAATAAAGCAAGAGGAATGAGCAGGAAGTTAAATCATCAGATGGGATAATCAAAGCGTCAGTGACTCAGTGACCGCGTCACACACGATAACGTGGCCAATCGCGGTGCGGCGGGTTCCGAAGACCCCAGCGAGGAGTACGAAAAAAACCAGTCGGACCCAGCCATTCAGTGTCTTTTTTCATGCTCATTCGTCATATTTTTGACTGTTCACCTCGGAGATTCACAAAAATAGCCGTGGTATTGGCTAAACAATATATGCCAAGGTAACCGGATTGCAGGTAGGCGGAGAAGCACATGACTGCGATTCCAATTCGACGAGTACTGCGATGAGAAGTCAGACGGTCTATTGACAGGCACCATGTAAAAGTTTAATTGCAGTTAGCAGGCTAGCAAGTACAAGACATAAGCGGGCATTACACTGGGTACTCTTTTCTACGGTTGGGATGTCACCCGCGCTCAAATGTAGTGTGAAACTTGATTGTGTTTCAGTTTGGATTTGTGAAGCGGGGCACGCATCACGGGATTCGTCTCAAAATAAGACGCCAAGGACAGAACAAGGTCATGAAAACAGAAACGGTCCTAAGCGGAGGATACATTCGGTGAAACATCAAGCAAAAAATTACTGGCCGTCCTCTTGCAACATCGGTTGAGAGCGGAATTACGCTAGCGCACTCCATCTGTGACTCAATGGTAATGAATGTCCACCACCCGGAGGATATTTTTTACACACCGCTTCATAGGTCGCCTACAGGATAAAGCTAGATGGACAAGTGTTAGTCATCACATATAGGTATCATGACATATCAGGGAGCCCGGGTACTTAGGCGCAGATTTAAACTTTTACTTGTTCCCACACACAGATGCGGATTTGGTGAACATGTGCCCGCGTTCCAAGGTGACCAAGGAGAAGTGAGAGACCGAGAGGTGTGTACGAAGTTCACGGCCATTCGCCATCGTCTTTCGTATGGAAGCATTGACACATGGTGCCCGTGCCACATACTACTGGTGTTGTCGTGAAGATTCGGATGAACAGACCGGCAATCAGACGATTCATTCAACGACTAAAGTCAGGCATCACGGAGCTTAGCTTTTGAGCGGATTATATCTCTATCCACCCTCAAGGGTAGGTTAACGCTTGAAGGTTCGCCGCGGATGACTGAGTGTGAATTAAAGGACGGGAGCACACGTCTAGAGAACTCGCTTCTTTGGGTGAAGGGGACTTCAGTGGCAAAAAAAACGAAATTCACAGTCCCCATGTGTCTTTCCCAGAATGCCATGGCTGTGTCGTCGGGGTAGCGAAGCAGGCATCGTAACGTCCCACGGGCCATTCCGTTCATGTTACTTAGATTGTTCTGGTGGGTATGTTAACGGTAAACTCGCAAGTCAATTTGGACATTGCGTGATGAAGCAGCAGTTCCATCTGCCAAAGTGGTTTCGATGGCGCAGCTGTTAGCCAACAGCTAACCACACCTTGAGCAGCCCATTACTTTATGTCTGATCTCTCAAGAAGGCATCGAACCGAGATATCTAATATCATCCATCACACTCAGAAAATCAATAATACCATCAACAAGCCTATGGACTTTAGGAAGAAGCATAAGCTGTTTGAAAGCCACGTTTTTGAAATGTTATGGCACGGCACTTAGCTGCAGCTGATTTCATGCAGATAGGGTTGAATCCTGATTACACATCTAATTCAGCATTCCCAAACAGTTCCAAGTCGTCCGCAGAGACCAACGCACCTACATTCTTGTCGTTAAAGCCAAGTACTTCCCTCGGTTGGGACCTAATCCATTAGCACGATGAAGAGCAGAGGGGACAACAGGTCATCTCATCTCATACCCCGGCGAGACCTCGTTTTGTGCCATCTAACACTATCTCGGAGTTCGTGTACAGTTGAGTGTGATAAGCAGGTAGCAGCAGCGAGCGCGCTCCATAGCGAGTGGGCGCATGTACAGCTGTAATATGCGGAACCGTTTCAAATGCCTTCGTAAACTCCGGAAAGACGACCACATACGCCCTCGTTTCCGAGGAAGCCACTTGGAACACGTCTACGAGGCCTCTAGACATTCATCTCTTTTCACAGAACCGGGTTGAAAAGAGATGAAGGAGGAAATGACTGGCATTTGTCCACCGATCACTTTGTACATTACATGTAAGACAGCCGAAGTTATCGGTCTGTATTCTCCTGCGTGTGCAGGAGTTACTGTTCAGAACAAAGTAAATGCTCGGGAGAGTGTGATATGGTGGCTACTCCGTGATGGAGCACTAGGCTGGTAAATCTGTAAACCTCTTGAAGTTGTTCTGACGATGTTACCTAGCTTGGTGGCGAAAACCAGTATCCGCACCTCGAGCTAAAAAGTCCAAAAGAACTTTGATTTCTTGCACCAGATGAATTATTCCTCCTTGATTTTCTGTTTCCGCCTGCCGATCTCATGTTGAAAACCTAATCGTGAGTCCTATATTGTATTTTACTCTGCCCTTTAGAACCACAGTTATACATGATTATATTACAAATTCCTCTGTCCAAACCGTCTTCTGCCGAGAGTGTGCGTATAGCCTGGGTTTATAGCTCGAAGTAGTAATATTCATATACAAGTCGTGCGATATAATCCGATTAAGCGTAGTTCCGATAATACAATCACCATGTAATACCTCTCTCGTACTCGTCCAATTAGTTAGTTTATTATGGCCTTAAGCCACAAACAACGGAATTTAAGACATTCGCCTATTACATGCACCTCAAGCGCTCCAATGGGGAAGAGACTCCACGTGATAAACCGGCGCAGCACATCCCCGCCTGTGACTGGGTGTGAAATTGTAGCGCTAAGTTCTGAGTTGTCGGAAACACCTTGTTCTGAAATTACCTCCCCCACAAACTGAGAGTATGCGGTGTTGGCGGCTCACTTCACCGATGGATCCGTGAGTTTCTTGTTGGACGAAAGTGGAGGGTGTAAGTCGATAGCCACCAGACCGACTGGTTTCCTTCCACCCGTGGCGTATCGCAAGGTAAGGTGTTGGACTTTACAATGTTCCTGCCTTATATCAACAAGCTACCACAGCTACTTCGGTTGTCCTGTGCCTTATCTGCTGACGACCTGAAGGTATAAAGAGTGATTAGCATCGCTGATGGCTGAGGTCTACCTCGGCAAGATCTCAAATGCTTTTCCATGTGATCTGCAGAAGTTAACCTATACGAGTCGGTATTGATGGGCCTAGGAATGGGCAGTAGGAATGTGAATTGCGTGCAAACAACGAGGCAACATGGGGACAGTTATAGTTGATGTACGCCTTGAAAAAAGGACAAACAAGTACCCTTACTTCTGTACCGCCACTTCAAGTTTATGTGACATATTAATCCGGTTTGAAGGGATGATTAATATATTCCAAAGTAGCACAGTTTAGACAATGAAGTGATGGGGCCAAGGGCAAGATGAAATCGTTTACTGAAAATATCCAAGGTGGAGGAGGAAAGAACTAAATATTGGGAAAGAGTTCCAGGGTTGGCAAACCCGAATGGAAAAATAATTCCGCCGGTATTTCAGGCGGCTATACTGTACACACAGATTTAGTGGGTTACCTCTGAGATTGGTGTTATGGCTGTTTCAGCAAGTGACGGTATACGTGATTAGCGTCAATCAATATCTGGTAGACTAAGATGAGATCTCAGTGCAGCCTACGGTAGCGGCCACTGAAAACTTTCAGTGACATCAGCTTTTGATGGTAGGGTAGATTTCGTAGACCCTTGAGGTTCTTTGTGGCCTTGCGTTGTGATTTCTCTAGCACTTCAATCAGGGTTGCCATGCTTGGATGGCGTATTCAACGTGAGGGCGCATGCAAGAATTGTGCATCATGGGGAAGACGGATGAGTCGAATCTTCCGAATGCTCTCCGCAGCAAGCAGACGTGTTGGTTGGCTCTCTTCGCAGCTGACTCTGACTGCTTTAAACAATTAAGGTCACTTTGAATGAGCACACCAAGGTCGCGTTCTTGGGAAGTTGTTTGTAATACATATGACCAAGCCTATACACGTAGTCATGCACATGGCGAAAGTGAACAACGTGACATTTTTCCACATTGAACGATAGTGAATTCAGAACTGACCAGTTTGAAATCGTGTTGAGATCACGCTGGAGCCTTTCTTGGAAGTTCGGTTCTTTGATCGTTCGCCATAACTTGATATCATCCGCGAAGGATAGAAAATCGGAAGTAATTTCCCTCGCCATATCGTCTATGAAAATCGAGAATAGACGGGGCCCAAGCACTGAGCATTGTGGTACGCCGCACTCCACCTCAATTGCTTAGGACAGGGATTCCCGTACTTTCACTTCCAACTGACGTTCGTGCAAGAAATTGCCTATCCAACGCAGCAGTGGGTCACAAATGCCATAGAACTGAAGTTTATGAAGGAAAATTCGGTGGTCTAAACGATCAAACGCTTGTGAGAAGTCCAGGTAAGTGACATCGACTCCTGCTCCATCATCAACTGCTTTAGTCGAGCTATTGTGAGTAATTAGTAGGTTCGTAGTGCATGAGCGCTTTTGTCGGAAGCCATGTTGCTCCGGTACTATCATCTTGCGATTTTCCAAATACTGCATGCATGCATCCGCGATGATGGACTCCATAACCTTGGAAAACACACGGAGTATCGTTATAGGACGGTAATTAGTTGAGTCAGTGCGAGTACCTCCTTTATGAACAGGAGTGATGACCTCTCGCTTCCATATTGTTGAAATATGGTTCTCCTTCATACAGCGCTGATAGAATATAGCCAGACGTTCCGCTAGATCACTGGCGTACT